ACATATGAAGAGACATCCTAATTAGTGAGGCGACACAGATAGTGAGTTAGTGAATTGTGTTTAACGCCGCTTTTAACAATATTCCAGTTATATCACGGCGTCTGGGAGGAAAGCCCGAAGTGATGCAGGTCTCAGACGTTTACCACTTCGGTGAAAGCCACGAGCACGGGCATGGTGCCTACAAACCTAGAAACACAATTGGGGCGAACCGGGATTCGAACCCACAATCAAAGGTTTCTGGCATGCCCAAGGGAAGCAACCCTGCACAGCGAATTGCGGCGCTTTAGACGACTGGGCCACCCGTGCCACCCACAGTTAACGTTGATAACAACATGAAGTGCATTAAATGATTATCTATAACATATGTTATATCAGCTGTCATTCTGATATTTTACGTACGTTTTAAGTATAGTTTTGTCAAATTGTGACTTGTGTTGTCTGTCTGTCTCCCTCTGTCAAGCGACCCGTGAAGATCCGGGGTAGACTAGGTGTTCAGCAACCCATGCTTGCCGTAAAAGGCGACTATGCTTGTCGTAAAAGGCGACTATGCTTGTCGTAAAAGGCGACTAACGGGATCGGGTGGTCAGGCTCGCTGACTTGGTTGATGCATGTCATCGATCCCCCCAAAAATCATGATCCCTATTTTTATGTTTATTTTTTATTTTTGGTTCAGTATATATCCATAATGTAAGAATACACAACGACATAAGTTTCCTCCAACGTGATTCATTGATGACCCCCGGGATCCTGTGCACCTGTAATGAACGCTTTCCTGTTGTCATGTATTGGTTTCCTTCGTGCCACACAGGTAATGATAGCCTTCAACTCCAAGGGCCCAGTCATGCTTGCCGTAAAAGGCGACTAACGGGATCGGGTGGTCAGGCTCGCTGACTTGGTTGATGCATGTCATCGATCCCGATTGCGTGGGTCGATGCTCATGATATTAATCACTGGATTGACTGGTCCAGACTCGATTATTTACAGACCGCCGTCATATAGCTGGAATATTGCTGAGTGTGGCGTTAAACAACAAACCAACCAACCAAATTATATGAAACACAGTAACCTCTTTCAGCAAGTGTATATTCCTGAAACTTCTCTTCGCCATCCTCTTGACACGCAGAGGGAGTGGACTGAACAGATGACGAAGTATCATATTTTAAAACTGGGGTAGATATTAAACATTAAAACCTTCACTCAAGATATAATAATGAGTGTTGATGGAACTGACAAATGGCAGCTATAATTCGTAACCTTTAGTGTTGATGTCATTTCATACGAGATTACATAGTTTCAATCGAAACTGAATATCGAATACGAAAACGTTATATGAAGCTACCTTGAAATTAAGAAGTGAAGAAACCCTTGGTCTTGAACATTCGTACAATGTATCCTAAGTAAACAGTAACATTTACAATTAAAAATAAATTACAGACATACATGGAATGCATTCTTTTCTTATTTCTGGCGCAGAGCTGTTTCCATGGTGCCTAATTAACGTAACTTGATAATAGAAGCAAGACGAGTGCAGATAAGGTATATTTGTGACCAAGTATGCTTCTGTTAAACGCAAACTTCGTAATATCACGTAATGTCACACCTAAGAGGTGTTTTCTCATGTCAGCATCCAGTCACATTCGTAGATCATTATTTGTGTATACAAACAAACCCCCCCCCCTAAGTAATTTAATCAGCTTCCTGATGAATTGGATTCCGCGTCGTGTGTTCTCTGTCCATCATGTTGTAACAAGATTATCCTTCTGTTGTTTGTTTGTTTGTTTGTTTGTTTGTTGTTCAATACCGCACTCAGCAATATTCCAGCTTTATGACGACGATCTGCAAGTAATTTTGTCTGGACCAGACAATTCAGTGATTGATACCATGAGCTTCGATCCACGCAATTGAGATACGATGAAATGCATCAATCAAGTCAGCGAGCCTGACCACCCGATCCCGTTACTCGCCTCTTACGACAAGCATATTCGCCTTTAGGGACAAGCATGGGCTGTTGAAGATTTATTCTAGCCCGGACCTTCACGTGTCCTGTTGTTATTAGTTAACCTAGTACTCATGTTAATCCCTCTCATGAATGATGTTTATTCTTACTGTTAATCCCACACTTCCCATACACAATTCTGTAGATGTTCATTATTCAGCCTTGTTCGACAAAAGTATAAGGATCTATACGGAAAAGTCGCTAGTAGAACATAATAGTGATATTGTTATCTATAAACCTGTGTCTACCTTTATAAACAAACCGACTAGTGGTTCTCTGGAAGAAACAAAATATCAACAAGCAGGGATCTTACGTTTATAAGAGAGGTGCCTACTAAAGCGCTTGGTTCCAAATTAAAGTAGGAGTTATCGACTCTACAGTGGGACTACATCAAATGTCAACACACAGTAGGTTTATTTCCATTCTACCAGTACAGCGCGACCCGTGAAGGTCCGGGATAGAATAGGTCTTCAGCAACCTATGCTTGTCGTAAAAGGCGACTGACGGGATCGGGTGGTCAGGCTCGCTGACTTGGTTGATGCATGTCATCGATCCCAATTGCGTGGATCGATGCCCAAGATGTCAATCACTGGATTGTCTTGTCCAGACTCGATTATTTTACAGACCGCCGTCATATAGCTGGAGTATTGCTGAGTGCGGCGTTAAACAACAAACAAAGATACCAGTACAGCGTTTTGAAAACGGTGCTTACACAGGGTACAAAGGTGCTATCTTAGAACATTCCAAAAAGGGGTCAAAGGTAGTGAGTAATAAGTACTGAAGTTCAACATTACATTACCCATAGTCTTGACTTGTTAAAAATAAATGTCCAAAAGACATAGGTTGTCAACAGGAAGTTGACTATAAACCCTCCAAACTTAGTCCAAAGAGTGAGTGAGTATGGTTTAACGCCGCTTGCAGCAATATTCCAGCAATATCATGGCGGGGGACACCAGGAATGGACTTCACACACTGTACCCATGTCGGGAATTGAACCCGGGTCTTCGGCATGACGAGCGAACGCTTTAACCACTAGGCTACCCGACCGCCCCTAGTCCAAAAATATATGTTTTAATTTCATCGCAACCTGTTGTACACTGTTTGCACTCACAAAGTCATTTCTTGGAAATCAGCGCAACAAGCCATTTCTTGGAAATCGAATATACCGTTTCCCACGTGACAGGTTGTAGAAATAGTTTTAAAAACCCAGTTAATAATACAAATTCAAAATAAATGCCTCTCCTACCCGAACAGGGTTGTGGAAGAACTTGACCAACGTCACGGTTACACACAACTGTTCACGGCTGCCAATGCTGTTTACACTCTCCATGCCTCTGAATAGTTACAGGAAGCAAGATGGCAACCCCGACATATGATGCAGTTCAACATTTACCTGTAGATGTTGGTGCAACGTGAGTGGAGTGGAGTGGAGTGGAGTGGAGTGGAGTGGAGTGGAGCGGAGTGGAGCGGAGCGGAGTGGAGTGGAGTTCTCAGGCTGTAGACGAGCCGGCATTCTGACACCACATATTTTGCATCAAAATGCATGTTTAATCAAACTTTTGGCCTCTCTCGGTGCAACAAACACGTCCGGGCTTTTGCATTAGACAGTCGTGGCCCTGGCACAGTGGTTCGTGTATGTTCTGCTTAATTGTGCGTGTTCTAGTGTGAATTTCATTAAGTTTGATAGTAAGTCCTACGTAGGAGATAGTAAGTCCTACTTAGGAGATACTTAGTCCTACGTAGGAGATAGTACGTCCTACTTACGAGATACATAGTCCTACGTAGGAGATAGTACGTCCTACTTACGAGATACATAGTCCTACGTAGGACAAAAATAATTTCACCGTGGCCCTACTACGCTTCCGTAGGGAGGAGAGTTTTCCGATGAACTTTTAAATCCCCCCCTCTCCCCCCCCCCCTGCCAAATCCCGACGTTAGTGGTTGACGGAGATGACAATAAATATAGATCACAAGGTTTTTTAAACGCTTTTAATAGACTTACACTTAGCCTATGAAAACATTTCTTAAAAATAAATGACATTGTTTTTGCCTCTACTGTTGTTTTCAGGTGGAATCAAAGTTAGTTTGATCTAGACATGCCTAGGCTTGATAGATAGCACTCAGGGCTACGGCTTTGAACGTCCAAATCGTCCCCCAAACACAACGTACCGTATTTCCTCTATTAGACCATCGACCGTCTATTAATTTCGTAAGATCTGTTTAACCCGCATGTATTAGAGATCTTTGTGCCGTTGTACAAAGCGATCTTAGCACTTAGGTGAGCGTAACGCCCATACCTTAACATAGACTTACGGCAGTCGTAGCGCTAAGATTGTTTTATACAACGGCACCCAGGCTTGTATAAGAGACCCAGCTTCTGACAAAGGAAATATCGACCCCCCCACACACACACACTCTTATTGGTGATCGACAGCCATCTCTTTATGGCTCGATATATTACCTATCGATGTATTCATACGTACTTAATAATTATATTTTAAAGGAGTTTTCTGTTGCAAAAAGGAAACCTATTTTTAAACAATCAGAATCAAGCATTCTTCAATGTCATTATGGAATATGAATGAGATATAAATCGATCATTTGATATTCGATATCGGTAAGTAGGACTAATCAATGAATGGTTGGTGATGCTGAATCCGTAACTAATAATCATTTAATAAGCTGCCGGCATTTCCCACAATCCAATCTGCTATTGATAATCTATTGTGAAACATGTACATTTCAAAGCCTATACGTTCAGTACAAATGCATCATACGTTATATATATTTTGTGTTTGCAGTGGATGTATACTAACAATATATCCTATGCACCTGTTTACACACTTAAAGTATGTTTCATGTTCGATGATATTATTGTTTTGCCACGAATCCTATTGCCTATAAATATCCAAACCAACGGCATTCAGTTCAGACGCAGGGAGTCATTTAGAACAATCTGGTTCTGATAGACTCAGTAGATATTTAGGATGAAGTATAGGATGATACCAGTGATTCAAAGAATGACACATTGCCTTCTTCCTTGTTTGGCTCTTATTTTCACCATTTTGCTTCACGTAACACTAGCTTCGGAAAGCACCTTTAACTTCGTCCACTCTGACCATCTGAACGGCCAGTTGTGTACTACAAAATCTAGGGGTCAAGCCGTGGTTATTAGCAAACTGGACTGTGCCCAAACGTGTTCCACAGATCTGTTGTGTATCTCGTTTATCTACGATGACGTCAACAGATTATGCCACATGTACGACAAAGTTCTTAATTGTGCCTTCGACTGTGTAAATCCTGCAAACCAGACCTACATTTACTACATCAAGTTGGGTAAGTCCTAACTTTATCATTTTTAGTAGAATGTCCTTATACGACGTTTTGAAATGTTTATTTGTTATTACCATGATGGTATTTTAACATGGTCCTACCACAAAGGCATATTAACTGTCATTTGTTGCGCTCGTGGCGATGGTAACAAAATGGGAACAATCTAAACCAAAGCGACCTGTACCTCAAAAGTTGATGAGGCGATTTTACTGGTCTTCGTTAAATTTCCTCAGTATACTCCAGTTTGAAAAATGTGGGCGTCTATTTGTCCGTCCGTCTTACCTCCGTCCGTTTTCCGTAACCGGAGCAGAACCGTTGAATATTTCTTGCTAAAACTTGCTAGACAGACACCAGACAGACAGACTTGAAAGGTCTCGTGGCCAAGAGTACAATTACTTTTCATTTAACATGAGTACGATAGTGGCATATGGATTTATTACGTAATATCTAAATACAAAAGTATATATTAAAAACAAATTATACTTTAATAAAGATTAACACATCGGCTGAACGGGAAAATGGCAATTTTGTCTTTAGATAAAGAGCAAAACCTCTTATAACATTAACATTATTTTGGGTTATCAAGAAGGCAATGATGAAAATAACGCGGAATTAAACTTTTCTGCTTTTCTCGTAATATGGGCAACTGGTATAAAATTATATTCATCATCTAATTCTAAAAAATCACAATTTCTTTATCTTTATCTTTATACTTTTTTATGTTTTCATGACGACAAGTTGGACTTATACTGCAAATGAGGGTAGTGCTCGTTTCCGGAGCAGAACTCATATTTATTATGGAACTTGCTTTATTGATCAGTCTAGTGGTGAACTGGTGCCTTTTGAAGATTTGGCACATTTACATTTTTTACCACCACCCACCCACCCCCGTTTTAAAAAAACGGTGCAATATTCGGGTCCATTACCGGAATTCATTATAAAAGGCCTTCAATTTGGAACGGTATTTTCTTTCTTTTAGAGATTGAAACTTGTTTCATTATAAATTATATACTAGTTTATTGGGGCGGTCGGGTAGCCTTGTGGTTAAAGCGTTCGCTCGTCACGCCGAAGACCCGGGTTCGATTCCCGACATGGGTACAATGTGTGAAGCCCATTTCTGGTGTCCCCCGCCGTGATATTGCTGGAATATCGCTAACAGCGGCGTAAAACCATACTCACTCACTCATTCACTCACTCACTTACTAGTTTTTTGTAACTGGTGCCGCGAACCGCACTACAAATAGCTCTTAGAGCGTCCAAATGTAGGTTTTCTGTTAACCGGATAGTGGTGAACAAAGTTTGCCCATTAAATGTTTTGACATCGTGTTTTTGAAAATCCATATGGTATTAATTTCATTTGTCTGAAATACTTTACCGGACACCACACTATCTCTCTCTTTCTATTGAGAATACTGAATCCAGTACGAAGGGACGAAGTATGAATGGACGGGCCTGTTGTCATTCAGACCACGACTAGGTTTCCCTTAGAACAATGAATGACATAACAATTCTGAATCAGGTACAAAATCGACATTTGTGTTTTAAAAAGTCGTTTCTGAACACTGGCATTTTAGATAGAAAAGACATTAGGAGCTGGGTAATGTTTGAAGGTTTTCATCAGAAACAAATAAAATATTCCCAAAAGCTTTATATATTGGTAAAGTAAATTATGTTTGCAACAAACACGCTTATAACGAACGGGCGGATATAACGAAGTGATTATTGGCCCCGGTCATTTGCTATATATTTCATCATATAAAATTTATGGATATTATGAGCACGCTTATTACGAAATAATAAATATAGCGAACTCACTTTTTGGTCCGGTGTGTACTATGTTAACGACAGTGTTTATGTTTTAATCTCTGAATTGCTCACGTGTCACCAATCAGCCTATCAAAACATCCGGCTGTTCAAACCGTCCTTACAAAATGAAGGCATGTGATTAACTGGATTAAGAAAGGACACTTTGTCTTCAGTTTACACCCTCAGTTTTAATACAACAGTGATTAGGCTATAGCCTTTGAAATGGATGTATGTTGTCTATACAATGCGACAAGAGTGAGGAAATTCAGATTTTTTATAAAATCACGATGACAGACACAGTCGAAATGCTCAGCTCATAGCGAACTACGGTTTGTAACGAACACAAAGTAGTCACAAGAGTCGTATGACGCTCTAATATTGGAGTACTTCGATTTTCTGGACAGTGCGAGCTGTGTGCAGTGTTTTACACCTTTTGAAGATTTTGTAGCGACGATTTACACAAGCCCCATAGTAGAAATAATCAAATCTAGAAAGCACCAGTGTCAGATTTATTTTTGTTGTTGTTGTTGTTTAACGCCGCACTCAGCAACATTCGAGCTATATGACGGCGGTCTGAAGCAGACAATTCAGTGATTGACATCATGAGCATCGATCCACTCAATTGGGATACGATGACAGGCACTCTGACCACCCATTAGTCGCCGCTTACGGCAAGCATGGGTTGCTAGTGCCGGAACCAGAGTCTGTGTTGTACTAGCAGTCATGAGATGACAGATATGCCAAATATATCGGAGATGATAGTAGCCTGACACAATTGCGCTCAACTGGAAAAAGCAAAACAATGGAATTTGGCCAGGAAGGTTGGCTGCCGGTATAATCGATCATCTGATATTGTTTAATAATGGTAAAAAATCCAATTCCCCTCCACTGATTTGACCATCTGTGCTGGTAATAAAAGAGAGCAGTTAACCGCCTCAACTGTTTCACGGTTAGATCGATGCATAACGATTCAGTGTGACCAAAGGCTGTCCACAAGACTGTATGACAAGAGGCCTAGGGGTAAGAGCTGTCCATGCCCAACCGGAAGTTGGTAAGCAGGAACTACCATATGCATTTTCTCTCTGTACAGCATAAAAACATGACTTGGGCAAGTTTTTAGCCCTTTTAATAGATATTATGAACTAAACTTATATCATGCACCGAATGGCTTCCGGGTCATAATCGTTATGGCATTTACATAAGCCACTCAATAAGAAGTTCAATATCTCTATCTGTCCTTGTGATGTCATCTGGTGCGGGTCAAGCACTAGGTGCTATTCAGCCTGGAAACGACATTATTAATTCATTCTAGCGTACTTTGGTGTCTATTTTATCTTTAAAGGGCTATTCTAGGAACTGTATCATTGTATAATCTTTTTATCCATCACGGTCCTATTCTACATTATAGCGTGTACAGTGTGAAAGAGTCAATGTCCAATATACAAAAATGTACTTTACACAAAAGCATTGGTTTGTAAGTATGTTTTTGACAGTGGGTATATCGATTGACGCCATCAAAATATCAAACATATATGATAAATGGTAGTAGCGGCAACAAATTATCACCAAATGATACTCATCTTCTTCTTGTCCCTGGTTGCAAACCAAACGCAACCTTTGATGTTTTAGCTCTTTTCTTTATCCCCCAGTCTCAATACGAAACTGGTGGGAACAACATCTCAACTTAGCAAGTGCAGTCCTATTTAATATATTTATTTCATTTAAACGTGATACTATGCCAAAATTCATTTTGATTCCACCATACAGGCGAGTGAGTGAGTTAAATTTAACGTCGCAACGGCATTATTTAAGCCATATAGCGACGAGACCAAGTTAATATGTTTACAATTGAGTCATTTATGCAAAGTTTATATTTAAAAACAATTTATGAAATATATTTGAGCATATACAATATCATGTATACAGATTTAAAACACGGGCTATAGACCACCAGTAACCAAAGCTAGGCCACCTTGCTGGGCATCATGGGAACTTCAGTACCTCGGCTTCCTGCATGATACCCCAGCAGGATTTACGTCATCACTTTAGCTAAAGGTGGTTGTGCATAATACTAGCCAATATTAGGTGAGGTGAGGTGAAATGGGGTTTAACGTCGCGTCCAAGATTATTGCACTTATATAGCGACGTGCATGCACGTGTGTGTGTGTGTGTGTGTGTGGCTGCTTGTACTAGTCCGGACTGATGCCGATTTATAGTGCTAGCTCACTGAGATACCATGCCGCAGTTTAACATGAATACCTCACTCAGACACAGTATACTGACTCCGAGCCGACCAGTCCTTGTTTTAGCCACTTAATGCCGAGCGCCAGACAGGGTAACAACAAGTACCATCTTTTAACGTCTTTTTGTATGACGCGGTCGGGGATCGAACCCCGGACCTTCCGCTCTCCGGGCAGACGCTCTACCACTAGACCACGGAGGCGGTCACTAGCCAAACATTAAAACAATACTCAGCCATGAGTTGCCTTAAAAACACTGGTCGATGATAGTTACATCGATTAGGATAGGATTACGTGTCACACGGGGACAATCATTCTACGCTACGTTAACTTCCTGGACAGAGCCTTCAATAATGCCAGCTGATAATATCATCACACCAAATTTAAAAACAAGCATTTAACCTTTCACATACATTAAAAAATTATCACACGGACAAATTACTTTCAAATAGCCGATAATGGGATGCCCGCTGACACGGGAAAAGAGATCTTTCAGATAAAACAAACTATAGTCAACAACAAAAATGTCCGTGACACCAATATTTTAGTGTATTTTTCAAAGAAGTAAAGTTTGGTTTTCAATATTGTAGTACATGTATCGAACCAAGTCACAAAAACGCAAATACAACAGAAAAGCATGCATTCCATGCAAAAGTTGACCGTTATGCAAGCCCCATGCATTTCACTACCCAAAAATGGGTATAAAACATGTGCGTTAACGGGATTCCATATGCATTGTTAAGCATCGTGCTGACAACAACCACCCAGAAAAACAACCAAATAAAGCAATTATTCAACGTTACGAAATGCCACGCCTGTCCGAAAATGAGCGTCTGCGAGCCATTGGTATGCTTGAAGCAGGACCGAGTCAACGTGATTTTGCAAGATAATTCAACGTCCACAGAAACACCATTTGGTGTTTATGGCAACGTTGGCAACAGACGAATGCAGTCAGAGACCATCCTCGGAGTGGCAGGCCACGCGTAACGAATAATCGACAAGACAACTGGATTCGAACAACACACCTACGAAATCGATTCCAGCCAGCAACAGTGACTGCAAGAAGCATCCCTGGCCTTCGACGAATATCTTCACAAACCGTACGTCGTCGCATCAGATGTGCAGGGATTGTCGACAGAAGACCCACAAGACGTCCCATTTTGACAGGAAACCACCGTCAAGCACGTCTACAGTGGTGCAGACAGCGTCTACGGCCATGCAGTGAGGACAGGTTCTATTCACTGACGAGTCTCGTTTTCGCCTCAGCCACAGCGATGGACGGATTCGAGTGTACCGACGTCAAGGTGAACGTTACGTCAATCAATCGGGGGTGGCAGCGTTATGGTATGGGGTGGAATTACAGCAAGACAGAGGACCCGTTTGATAGTGGTAGAGGGAAATCTCAATGGACAGCGCTACCGCGACGAGATCATCGGCCCTGTTGTTCTACCGTTTTTGCGTCGTCATGGCCCAGGCATTACCTTTCAACATGACAACGCCCGGCCTCATATTGCTCGACTTGTTCAGGATTTTCTTCTACAAAACAACGTGAATGTCATCCCCGGACCGGCTCGCTCCCCTTATCTCTCACCAATCGAGCACATGTGGGATGAGATGGATCGGCGCCTTCGACGTCAACCACGTGTTCCACAGACACTCCAGGAACTTCGAAACATGCTCCAGCAGATATGGACAGATATCCCTCAGGACTTTGTGCGACGCCTGGTCCATTCCATGAGACGAAGATGTGTTGCTTGCATCGCAACCAGAGGTGGACACACACGCTATTGATTTGTAAATTGACATTTTGGCATGTTCATGTTGGTTTTTTTAAATCACGCATTTCCTGAAGTCAGTATGGAACATTAAACCATTTGAAAACTACACGAGTCTCTTATCTGTTGTAAACCGAAATTGTTTCAGAATTGGTAAAAAACATAACTTTGCATTAAATCTTATTCAATGTCACAGGATCTTTTGTTGTTCAGTATATGTGGTCTTACACACCCTACCAGAGGGACAATATATTTACGCTACTTCCGCAGCCTTTGAAGGTCATGCCACTAACCATCTCAGTTAATAATTCTAATCTACCAATTCGAAACACCGTTTACATTTATAAATTAATGTTATTTCTTTAAAATAACTATCTTAATGCATATTGGTTGTGACCAAAAGATCCTTAACAAAATTTGAAATATTTACCCCTTGCAATGGGGAAATTCAGTAGCGCAAAAGGCGCAAGGACTGTGATTCTCTCACTGAAGATTCCTGGGTAGAATAGGTCTTCAGGAACCCATACTTGCCGTAAAAGGCGACTATGCTTGTAAAAGGCGACTAACGGGATCTGGTGGTCAGGATCGCTGACTTCGTTGATACATGTCATTGATCCCAATTGCGTGGATCGATGCTCATGATGTGAATCACTTGATCTTCTGGTCCAGACTCGATTAGTTTACAGACCGCGGTCATATAGCTGGATAATTGCTGAGTGCGGCGTTAAACAACAAACAAACAAACTCTCACTACAACGGATGCACATCGGATAATCCCCAGCCTTCAATAGATATTCGTGTGTGGCCAAAACGACATCATAATCTACATCGTTGTAAAATGACTTCTTCAAATCTGGCCTGAAAAACCCCAGTAGGTATAACGTACAGTTGGTTTGATGTCATGAGGTTTATTTATACCTCCTGGGTGTCCAACTTCTTTTGAATTAGGTATCTTGTAATCGCCATGGGGTTATACGAAGTGGAGTCAATAGTTTGTTGAGGGCTGCCTTTGCTGCAGCATCAGTCATTATGCTATCAACGATTCCTATATGACTAGGTTACCAACAAAAGGCTATGATTTTATTACATTGTTAGAAATATAATATGTTCAAGTGTCTCATTCGGAAGCAGTGTTAATAATAGTAAACGTGTTCAAGTATATCAGACATGATATATTCATGGGATAAAGCTAATGAATACTGGAGTACTGTTGTGTCTCATTAGGCAACAAGCACTTACTCTTTGTGCAGGTGGTGTGAGTGGCGGGTTCTGTCGGTAGAGCAGGACATGCTTAACGTTCTCGCGAACACGGTGTCTCACTGATTTTCAAGCATATACTTTTCACTGCTATTCTGCCATTGACGCATTGACAAGAATATTCTCTGGCGTGAATTTTTTTTATAATTAGTAATTGTGACTTGTTCAACAATCTCAAAATTATGTATTCATGGGATAAAGCTTAATTTATACATGGACTTCAGACATGATGTCATTTGCGATGTTAGACAATAATATGTTACCCCTGATGTTAACTCATCTTTTCCATAAATGTTCACATCATGTTTAGTGGTGAGCACGCCTTTCTATCCTTTCCGTTATAACATTCGACCCGTGGTCTTCAGCAACCCATGCTAGCCGTAAAAGGTGACTATGCTTGTCGTAAAAGGCGACTAACGGGATCGATTGGTCAGGCTCGCTGACTTGGTTGATGCATGACATCGGTCTCAATTGCGTGGATCGATACTCATGTTGTCAATCACTGGATTGTCTGGTCCAGACTCTATTATTTACAGACCGCCGTCATATAGCTGGAATATTCCTGAGTGCGGCGTTAAACAACCAACAAACCAACCAACCAACGTTATAACATTCAGCTTGCATACATTTCATGATTACGTTCAGCTGATTGTTTCCAATCATATGTTTGTCATCTTGCGATCATCGTTATTATTATATTCTTTCAGTCATACACACATACGTTGGGTGTTACAACGACAACCGGCGCCGTGTCCTTCCATACCGCAAGTTGTTGGACAACATCTGCCTGACAATTAATACTTGCAAGCTGCATTGTCACCGATTCAACTACACTTTCTTCGGAATTGAGGTAGATAACGATATTATTTAATATGTTATTTGCCCAAAAAGTCAACGATGTACGTATAATTAATCAAATCGCGATCCAAATGCAACAGAAAGACACAGCATTGTTAAAATTTCAAAGCGGTTACAAAGGCAATTATCTCTTACTGATTTTCAAATCAAGCTAGGTTTCTTCCCTGTATGCAATACTTGGCCAATGACGAACAAATTAGTACCTATCAAGATATTTCGAACAGCGTGTGACAACTGTTAATATTTCATAGTTGAAAGTTAGTCAGGTTTAGAACTTTTTGACCAGGCCTCGTATGAAGCATTCGCCCAATATAAAGTGGTAATAAAAAGTAGCTATTAATAAAGATGCACATGATATAAAGGGATGAATTTTGATATATTCAGTTGTAACGATATCCATACTATCGATGCACATACATAATTGACATAATCCTCATCCCTACACTATCCCAGTATGTATTTGGTTAGAATGAGGAAACTAGATTGAGCGTGTGTTCAGTTGTGGTGACTTCGTAGATTTCTTGTCATTGTACAAACAAAGAGACCACAATATTAGCCCGTTACACCTGACAGTGCCTCAGCCCAGCACATAAGACAAGTTCACCAGACCAATACCCCACACTAATACATGAGACCGGTTCACCAGACCAATACCCCACACTAATACATGAGACCGGTTCACCGGACCAATACCCCACACTAATACATGAGACCAGTACATCAGACCAATACCCCACACTAATACATGAGACCAGTACACCAGAACAGTACCCCACACTAATACATGAGACCGGTTCACCAGACCAATACCCCACACTAATACATGAGACCGGTTCACCAGACCAATACCCCACACTAATACATGAGACTGGTTCACCAGACCAATACCCCACACTAATACATAAGACCGGTTCACCAGACCAATACCCCACACTAATACATGAGACCGGTTCACCAGACCAATACCCCACACTAATACATGAGACCGGTTCAACAGACCAATACCCCACACTAATACATGAGACCGGTTCACCAGACCAATACCCCACACTAATACATGAGACCGGTTCACCAGACCAATACCCCACACTAATACATGAGACCGGTTCACCAGACCAATACCCCACACTAATACATGAGACCGGTTCACCAGACCAATAGCCCACACTAATACATGAGACTGGTTCACCAGACCAATACCCCACACTAATACATGAGACCGGTTCACCAGACCAATACCCCACACTAATACATGAGACCGGTTCACCAGACCAATAGCCCACACTAATACATGAGACTGGTTCACCAGAACAGTACCCCACACTAATACATGAGACCGGTTCACCAGACCAATACCCCACAATAATACATGAGACCGGTTCACCAGACCAATACCCCACACTAATACATGAGACCGGTTCACCAGACCAATAGCCCACACTAATACATGAGACCGGTACACCAGAACAGTACCCCACACTAATACATGAGACCGGTTCACCAGACCAATACCCCACAATAATACATGAGACCGGTTCACCAGACCAATAGCCCACACTAATACATGAGACCGGTTCACCAGACCAATAGCCCACACTTATACATGAGACCAGTACACCAGAACAGTACCCCACACAAATACATGAGACCAGTACGCCAGACCAATACCCCACACTAATACATGAGACCGGTTCACCAGACCAATACCCCACACTAATACATGAGACCCGTTCACCAGACCAATACCCCACACTAAAACATGAGATCAGTACTCCAGACCAATACGCCACACTAATAGATGAGACCAGTACTCCAGACCAATACGCCACACTAATACATGAGACCGGTTCACCAGACCAATACCCCACACTTATACATGAGACCGGTTCACCAGACCAATACCCCACACTAATACATGAGACCGGTTCACCAGACCAATACCCCACACTAATACATGAGACTGGTTCACCAGACCAATACACCACACTAATACATGAGACCGGTTCACCAGACCAATACCCCACACTAATACATGAGACCGGTTCACCAGACCAATACCCCACACTAATACATGAGACCGGTTCACCAGACCAATACCCCACACTAATACATGACACCAGTATACCAGAACAGTACCCCACACTAATACATGAGACCGGTTCACCAGACCAATACCCCACACTAATACATGAGACCGGTTCACCAGACCAATACCCCACACTAATACATGAGACTGGTTCACCAGACCAATACCCCACATTAATACATGAGACCGGTTCACCAGACCAATACCCCACACTAATACATGAGACCGGTTCACCAGACCAATAGCCCACACTAATACATGAGACTGGTTCACCAGACCAATACCCCACACTAATACATGAGACTGGTTCACCAGACCAATACCCCACACTAATACATGAGACCGGTTCACCAGACCAATACCCCACAATAATACATGAGACCGGTTCACCAGACCAATACCCCACACTAATACATGAGACCGGTTCACCAGACCAATACCCCACACTAATACATGAGACCGGTTCACCAGACCAATACCCAACACTAATACACGAGACCAGTACACCAGACCAATACCCCACACTAATATATGAGACCGGTTCACCAGACCAATAGCCCACACTAATACATGAGACTGGTTCACCAGACCAATACCCCACACTAATATATGAGACCGGTTCACCAGACCAATACCCCACACTAATACATGAGACCGGTTCACCAGACCAATACCCCACACTAATACATGAGACCGGTTCACCAGACCAATACCCCACAATAATACATGAGACCGGTTCGCCAGACCAATACCCCACACTAATACATGAGACCGGTTCACCAGACCAATACCCCACACTAATACATGAGACTGGTTCACCAGACCAATACCCCACACTTATACATGAGACCGGTTCACCAGACCAATACCCCACACTCATACATGAGACCAGTACACCAGACCAATAGCCCACACTAATACATGAGACCGGTTCACCAGACCAATACCCCACACTAATACATGAGACCGGTTCACCAGACCAATACCCCACACTAATACATGAGACCGGTTCACCAGACCAATACCCCACACTAATACATGAGACCGGTTCACCAGACCAATACCCCACACTAATACATGAGACCGGTTCACCAGACCAATACCCCACACTAATACATGAGACTGGTTCACCAGACCAATACCCCACACTAATACATGAGACCGGTACACCAGACCAATACGCCACACTAATACACGAGACCAGTACACCAGACCAATACGCCACACTAATACACGAGACCAGTACATCAGACCAATACCCCACAATATACATGAGACCAATACACCAGACCAATACCCAATACTAATACACGAGTCCAGTACACCAGACCAATACCCCACACTAATACATGAGACCAGAACACCAGACCAATACCCCACACTAATACATGAGACCAATACACCAGACCAATACCCCACACTAATACATTAGACCAGTACACCAGAACCGTACCTCAGAACATGTCAGCTAGTAAGCACCATACTCAAATTTCTGCTGCCATATATTTCATTCTCCAATTGTGACAAGCAACACATTTCCAGTGTGTTTATTCTCTTCTCAAGATTAAAGGTTTAGATAGATGCACCTGGTTATAGAGTGTTTAGTGTCGATTTTCCAAATAAACAGAAAATAGTTTTTGAGATGCTATTTCTGATTGCAGGGGGGAAGAGAATGCTACTGTGGCAATGTCATCAAAGACGGGTATACTATCAAACCTGAAACTCAATGCAACTCACCACTTAGGGGTGACCCAAGCACGATGGGCGGAGGACACTGGAGGATTTCAATCTTTAAAATAATTGTCTAATGCACAACCGTCGTTTTGATCGGTCACTAATTCCGTGATGTTTTGTTTGTTTGTTTGTTGTTTAAAGCCGCACGCAGCAATATTCCAGCTATATGCCGGTGGTCTATAAATAATCGAGTCTGGACCAGACAATCCAGTGATTCACATCATGAGCATCGATCCAAGCAATTGGGACCGATGACATGCATCAACAAAGTCAGCGAGCCTGACCATCCGATCCCGTTAGTCGCCTTTTACGACAAGCATGGTCACCTTTTACGGCAAGCATGAGTTGCTGAAGACCTATTCTACACCGGAGACTTCACGGGTCATTTCCGTGATGTGCTGTATGTAGACACTCAACACTAAAATAATCTTTGTTGTCTGATATTGCTCATGTCCCTACGCATTCACTGGTATCTATCATCAATTTAGATTTCTGAATAAAATGTGTGACCTTCTCCAAACTCCCTGTTTCATTGAAATCATATTCGACGTAAGCAATTGGAACACAGTTTATTTCTGACTTAGTTTACATTCATGCATATGTCAGAATAATGTTGGTTTTATGAATTGAAGCGACCAAAACCCTTTCCATAATCATATTTCGCAAGCTTTTCATGTAGGGCAACCAGACTTTTGATGGCAGCTGGCCAGGACAGAATGGGTTTATTCCATTCGGTTTCTCTTTTCATTTTGTACATTCTATCAATGACAACTTCACGAACCCACTCTGAATGACATTCAACAGGTTACTCTTTTCTTATGGCCTACTATTTTTGGTATGTTTTGTTTGTTTGTTTGTTGTTTAACGCCGCACTCAACACTATTCCAGCTATATGACGGCGTTCTGTAAATAACCAGACAATCCAGAGATTAATAACATGAGCATCGATCTACGAGACCGATGACATGCTTCAACCAAGTCAGCGAGCCTGACCACCCGATCCCGTTAGTCGCCTTTTACGACAAGCAAGCATGGGTTGCTGAAGATCTATTCTACCCCACTAATGGCATGTACATCAATAGCAACCATTATCATTTTAAAGTTGTGATCCTAAATTGATAGGGGGCTGCTCGCGAAAATTTTGGTCCATATTTGAGTAACTGACGAAGGTTGTCATTGTCAACACTTCAGAAGTCACCTGTGATCGCATTACCAACAGGTTGGTAGCAGTATGGTGAGTTCTTGGCAGCCACAATTAGTAAAATTTACATCATGAGCTGCCAAGTCCACGTTCTGGAACACGTTCCTGCAACTGAACAAATAGGAAGATGTCAAGCGCTGGTCGGAGTTCGGGACATAACACCAAGGGAGGTAACTATGAGTTATAGACCACTTACTATAACGTTAGTGAGTTGAGTCGGACCAACGACATGAAGTCATGAGTTGTTATACGTCCATAGTTTATTTTAATAAATGTAGGTATCCATTTCTCACAATATACCAATATGATATAGTTCACAACTAACATTCAAACAATGACATTCTTTCGAAGTGATGTGTATTGAACGGAATATAAGTATTTAAGAATGATAACGGTTCTAAAATATATATGGGCAATACAATCTTTTTGGTTGGTAAATTTAGTGCCTTCTACATACTATGCAAAAAAAATATGGGATATTTTGTTTTGAGGCGAAACTACAAGAAAAGACACCAATGTCTACCAATGAAAGTATGTGATTTATGTGGAAAGAACATCAAGCTCCCAAGCACAATATTGTAACAATCATGTGGCACGTGACCTCTGACAGCACGTGCAACGGATGGTATGCCAGATTTACCATTGTCACTCAGACTCGGTTGTGAGCAGACACATATTGTTTTCTTGGAACCAAATACTCAAAGATACATTTAATCATTAAGGAAGCAACAGCATTGATCATGCGACGTTTGCAACGTTATTAACGTTTACCTGCCACGGGCATGCTGCAGGTGGGTACACGTCAGAATATTGTTGCCCAAACGCTGCATTTTTCTCAATCTGTCATCAGCAGATTGTGGGCTGATTCCAACAAACACATAACGTCGATCATCGACGCCCATCTGGACGCCCCAGGGTGACACCACCATCCAAGGACAGATTAGTCAGAATGATGGCATTAAGACATTGGTTGCAAACTGCCACTCAGATAAGGGACCATCTTCCCGAGGCAAGAGAGTTAACTGACTTTAAAAGTCCAGTTTCCACCCTTGCCGAACTAGGCTGGAATTCCTGGGCTCGATTGTAGCGCCACCAGTGGCTATTACGAGTTATGTCCTTTCTATGCCTCTCCTATTGACCAATCAGAGTCAACCTCTCGTATCACCTGCATTTGCTTCAAACAAAACGGTGGCGCCCAGTCAAGACGATCTGATCGATAATCAAGATCTATATTGTGATAAAACGGGTCTTACATCGCAAAGTGCATCAAATCACGCGAGCACCTTGATTAAAAACATGAAAAGATACAGAAAATATATGTTGACAACGAGTTAGCGGTGCACATGCTTTGCAAATCCTGCAGTCGACCGAAATCTGCAGGACACTTTACGAACCGGATTTCGATTTCGGCGCGCGATTTTGATTGGACTATGCATGGACTCGTTAGTCCAGCCAAAACTCCATAATACCAGCCTAGTTCGGCATGGGTGGAAACTAGACTTGTATAGTCAGTTAACTCACTTGCCTCGGGAAGATGATAAGGGACCGGTTGCAACAGGTGTCATGTATTCACACATTTATACTCGGGAATATGCACGCTCGTGTGCCATGCCAAACACAACAGAGCATGGAAGGAAGCCATCATAGTTTTTACTCAGACAACGCCGAGATACATGACGTCATTATATCGTATTGAGTTAATGTGTACTTTGGATATAGCGGAAAACTGTATCACACAAGATGTAAACAACTACATGTAGAATACACTACACTCTTCCCCTCTAAACAATTTCCTTATGATTATATGAAAGATCTGAGTCCATCAATGATATATATAGAGAGAGATCAAGACTTTGCACTGGTTTTCGTGTTCTCTGTGGATAGCGTCTCTGTTCACCATTTGTTGAAGTCACAGGTTTATCAGAGAGAACAAAAGAATGCTGACTTTGAAATTCAGCAAAGTCCACATGCACTCTTTCCCATATTCTCTGAGGATATTTCCAAGGGTGAATAGGAGCCACTGGTGGGTCATTTTGTAGATTTTGGCATACAGTACAGCTTTTGGCTGTCATTTCGATGTCATGGGTACCACACATAGCTGCGAGCGCGTGCCTTCATCTTCACGATACCCATATGCTCACTGTGTAGTTCATTCAACACATAGTCTTGATAGCTCATTGGAATGATAACCCTGAGTCCCCATAACAAACAATCTTGATCAACAGACAGTTCATCTTTCCGTCTGAAGAATGGTGCAAGTCCCTCATCTGCAACATAATAATTTGGCCAACCACGCATGGTATAGTCCATCACACGAGCCAATACAGGATCTTTCCTAGTTGCTTGTGCTATTTCTGTTGCTGAGACAGGCAAGTTGATCACATTTGAGAAGTAGTTGATCTTGGCTTCAATGGTTTCTGGGCCTTCTATTCCAGGAAGTTTAGAGAGTCCATCTGTGTTAGCATGATCCTCTGATCTTCGATATCGTATCTCATAGTCATGTGCCATCAGAAAGAGAGCCCATCGTTGTAAACGTGCTGCTGCCAGTGTAGGTATGCAATTCTTGGGACCTAGCAGAGTGGTAAGTGGTTTGTGGTCAGTGATAAAGACAAACTTTCTTCCAGAGATGTACTTGTGAAACATCTTGACTCCGTATATAATCGCTAGTGCTTATTTTTCTATTTTGGCATAATGTTTCTCACTTGGTGAGAGGGTTCTTAAGGCGAATGCAACTGGTCTTTCAGTTCCATCATTCATCACATGAGCACACATCCGACACCATATGCGGATGCATCACATGCCAAAGTTAATGGCTTGTTCAGGGCACAGAACACTTTCACTAGACAACATAGTCTTGCACTTTTGGAAAGCATCTTCTTGTTCTGAATTCCATTTTCAAGGAGTGTCAGCCTTCAAGAGTGAGTAGAGGGGTGCTAGAATCGTGTACATGTTTCCCAAGAATCTTCCATAATAATTGATCATTCCCAAGAAAGCTCTTAGCTGTGAGACGTTTTCTGGACGTGGAGCTTCAGCAATGGCCTTTATATCTCGTCTTCAAGTGGATGTAGTCCATCCCCATCGATGCAGTGTCCCAGATATTCCACTCTGGGTACCTTGAACTTGCACTTGTCTAAGTTCACTTTAATGCCATAGTTATCCAGACGTTTCAGCACTTCATGAAGCACTGTGTCATGCTGGTCATCTGTCACAGTCCCTATGCATATATCATCCAGCTATGACTCAGCTCTAGGTATGCCTTGTAATACCTGATCCATTATAGACAGAAATATGGAAGGAGCAGTGGCTCCAAACGAAAGTCTTTGATATTCGTAGAGGCCTTTATTGGTGTTGATCACTAGTAGTGGTTTTGACCGATCTGTAAGCTCTAGCTGAAGGTATGCATTTGACAAGTCCAACTTCGTGAAGACTTTGTCTCTTTGCAAATATATCTTCTGCTGTTGGCAGGCGGTACACATTATCCTCCAGTACCGGATTGACTGTCACCTTATAGTCCCCACATAGTCTTACCATCATATTTGCTTTCGGAACTACCACCACTGGCATTGCCCAATCAGATTTCTCAACTTTCTTATTGATTCCTTCCCGTTCAAGTCTGTCAAGCTCTGTTTCCACTTCGTCCCTTATGGCATAAGGTACAGGACGTACTTTAAGGAACTTCGGGTTGATATCTGCTTTAAAGGTCTTGATAATACCTCTACCTCCGAATACTGAACTGTACGTGTCTTTCAGTTCTTCTTTCAGTGAGCTACACTGTTCAGTTACTGCACATAACTTCCCCCAGTCTAACTTCATGACTTACATCCAGTTTCTTCCGAATAAAGGAGCCCTGCGTCCCCTTGCAACAAGTAATGGTAGGGTGAATTCTTTCTCATTGTATACCACGGTCACCTTGCTTCTCCAAGTAAAGGTATTACCTTTTCTGAGTAATCACGAAGGGTCACTTTTGTGGA